CATGCCCTGTCTCCTGCCAGTCACTTTTATGTGAATATTTTTTGTGCTTGGTTTTCTTGGGTTGCTATGGTATATTTAAATTCCTTGAGCACTGTGGGTTCCCCTGATGTGTATGAGAAGTGAGAAAAAGAAGAACAAAATTGATTAACCATTTGGAAAAAGCTGGTTTCCTACCTCATACCAAAATAAATACAGACAGATCAAAATTTTACCAGCAAAATATATACCATAAAATAATAAAAGAAAACATGAGAGCCATTAAAAGTTTTTTTTTTTTTTTTTTTAAACAGTGGAGGTCTTTCTGAGGGTGTCATAAAATCCAAAAGCTAAAAATAAACAATGTGAAAAGATAAGTTGGGAATATTACTTGCAATACAAAGAAGTAATTTCTTTAATACGTAATATATAAGAATTGCCTATCAACAAAAAGCAAGAATAACAATCTGAAAGAAAATGAACACAGTTCACTAATAGTTCACAGGAAATGAAATACAGATTTTGCTTAGAAGTCTTTCTTCTTTTTGTTGACTGGGAATGGGATGAGCTTACTGAGTATAAAAAGGTTTCCAGTTTTGATCCCTTAGTGATTGTTAATTATAGGAGGAGTAGTTTTTTAATGTTTAAAATTATATACAATACAGAAAACTGTATCAAGCAAACAGGTTTAATGAATGTATCTTTCAAGGTGATCTCATGAGCACCATCTTAATCAAGAAATAAAACTTTGCCTGCCACATCTCCCATCCTAGTCACAATTTCCACATGCTTACCCCAAGTAAAGTCTATCTTTTATGATAACCACTTTCCTATTTTCATTGTTAACTTGCATCCCCTAAGTACTGTGGTTTAAATTTACCTGCTTTTTCTTTTGTTTTAGATATTTTAAGTTTTTTAAAGTCCAGTTTCCTTCTTCCCTATTCTGGTTCCTCCTTCAGTTGTTGAAAATTGTATGTGCTTCAGGATTCCCACAGGAGTTTACTGATCACATTCCTGTATTAGTTTATCATGTTCTTCTTGTCGTATCTTGTAAATTAATAGGCTTGATCAGATTCAAGTTCTGTTTGGTTTTGGTTTATGTTTTGGTGTAATTGCTTTATGGGTGGTGGTGTGAATCAGGAGACAAGTGGATCTCTCTCTCATTTCCATGGTAGTTGCTACCAGTGCTTATTGCCCGGATCCATTAATTCATTAGGAGATGGAATTGGGGAAAATGGTACTAATCTAAAACCATTCTTTTTTATTAGCTGAAATATTTCTTAAAGAGAAATTTCTCTTCATCTTCTATTTGCTTACCCAGTGGTACAATTCATGCATGAAAGAGAATAAAACCTTGATTTTTCTCTCTTTGCCAGTTTTTATAATGAATTGGTTTCCTGTTATTCTCTTAAAATTTATTCATTAGGATTTCTTTTGTGAACTCTTGGATATATCCATTTTATGTGTTTGAATGCATTGTGATTATTATTTTTACTGACTCAAATTTTCCCCTTAGTTGGACTATCTTTGAAACTGGCTCCTTAGACTATTTTATATAAACCCTAGTGGTTTTTGATAACTTTCTTGCCATTTAGTATTACAAGATGTCCTAAGCTTCTCTTAGAGATTTTCCGCTCCAGAACTGGAATCAATTATTAAAGAAACCTAGTTTCTTCTAATGGAAACAGTTTTCTTTACAGTTCACCACCAGGATGTTTGTTCTTTCTGGGTTGCTCATTATATCTAAACTTTTTTGTGAATAGGGATAGGGAGTACAAAGTTTCGTATACATAAGTATGTGTGTACTTTTTGTAAAAGGTGAACTGTCTTATAAATTAAATGTATTTTCTTTTTTTAGAATTTTAAAAATATTTATTTATTTATAGTTTTCGGCGGACACAACATCCTTGTTTGTATGTGGTGCTGAGGATCGAACCCGGGCCGCACACATGCCAGGCGAGCGTGCTACCACTTGAGCCATATCCCCAGCCCTAAATGTATTTTCAATACAGCATTTTTAATGTACTTCTCCTTTTTTCTCATTTATATCTCTTTTCTTCCAAATTTGAATTGTGATTTTTAAAGACACCAAGGATAATAGAATAAGAATGTTACTTATTACAGTAGTCTCCCTTTATTCACAGGGGAAATCATTCCAAGACCCCCAGTGGATACCTGAAACCGCAGATATACTGCGTATACTATGTATTTTCTTTTATATACATACCTGTCGAAAATTTATAAATGTCTTAAAATTTAGAGTAAGAGATTAACACCAATAACTATTAATATAAAACAGTTATGAAGGGGCTGGGGTTGCGGCTCAGTGGTAGAGTGATCGCCTTGCACATGCAAGGCCCTGGGTTCAATCCTCAGCACCACATAAAAATAAATAAATAAAAAATAAATATTAAAAAACCCCCACAGTTATGGAGCTGGGACTGTGGCTCAGTGGTAGAATGCTTGCCTGGCATGTGTGAGGCACTGGGTTTGATTCTCAGCATTGCATATAAATAAATGAACAAAATAAAAGCCAATAAAAATTATAACAGTGGCAGAATTATAATTATACCTTAATAAGTTATGTGTGTCTCTTTCTCAAAACATTATTGTACTACACTTATTCTTCTTGTGGTGCCTATCTGATGAGATGAAGTGACTTGGACATTATGATGTGGTCTTAGGCTACTACTGCTCACCTTTTTTGCTTGGACAAAAGCATTGCATTATTGTGACAGTCAGTGGTGATAACCAAGATGACTGCTATGACTAATGGGAGCTGACAGTATGCAGCACGGACACAGTGGACAAAAAGATGAAACGTGTAGGTCTGAGCAGAGTGGTATGACTCAAGATTTCATCATGCTACTCAGAAAGGCATGCAGTTTAAAATGGATGAATTGTTTATTTCTGGAATTTTCAATTTAATATTTTCAAACCTTGTTCATCCTTGGATAACTGAAAGGATTAGTGAGGGGTTATTTTACTTATTTGCATCATTCCACATATATGGACACAATAGCTTTAGTTTACAAAAGCAAGTATCACTACAGTATGATTACTGGAAAGTTGCTGCTTTTATATATATATTCTCCCACTTTTTATAGTTGGAATATGTCTGCATTGTTTGGATATATGCCCATTTTATGTACTCCATTCTCTCCTTTGTAACCCTTTTTTCATTTCAGTTCTACACTTGTATATGTATGCATATTTATTAATTTAGTGTGCAGTGCTATTGATGTTTCCTTAGTGCTTTTGGATATCTGAGACTTGGTCTGTAGTAGATTCTTGTTACCTTTTTCCCTGTTAGTAACACTTCACAATATTTGTACTTTGATTTTCCCTATTATATGTATTGGTTTTCTTTGTTTTATGAATTCGTGATTTTTCACATGAAACATTTTCATTGGCTGGATATTGTGGCATACACCTGTAATTTCAGCTATTCAGGAAGCAGAAGCAGGAGCACCCCAAGTTTGAACCCAGCCTTGGCAACTTAGAGCCTGTTTCAAAACTAAAGAAACAAACAAATAAATAAATAAAGGGGCTGGAGATGTAGATGAGAGGTGGAGCACCTCTGGAGTCCATCCCCAGCACTACCCAACCAAACCAAAAAAACCACTTTCTCATCTTTTTTGCCCTTTCTGAATTTTTGTTTTTTTTTCCTTTTCACTTTCTGTTTCTCTTAAGCCTAAAGTATTTTTCTTTTCAGCCTGCTTGCCTTCTAATTTAGTCTTCATTTCTGAATCTATTTTTCTTTTTCCTTTTTTGTGTAGGGGGTCGAACCTTAGGTTCTGCCACTGAGCTGTACACCTAGTTCCTTTTATTTTTAATTACTTTTTTTCTGCCACTTAATTTATGAGTTTTTCTAATGATGATTTTTGTTAATCTTTGTATATAATTTTTATTTACCTTGTTTTGAAACATTTATAGCTTTTAATTTTCTGGGAAGAAGTGTTTTTCTGAAGGGATATTTTCTTTGTTCTTTTTTCCTCTTAATATGAATTTTGTGTGGGACTAGACCTTGATTCTTTTCAGTTGCTGAGATTTGTATACAAGTAGTTTTCTTTATGTACAGTTAGTTTTAGTTGGACTTTGAATTATTTCTAGAGGTCCCTCTCTATTTGTTTTTGTGTAGTCTTCTAAAATGTGGGGGCTAGTACCCAGATGCACTTTATTAGAACCTTGTATTATCCTTGTGATGCTACTTTGGATTGTATCCTCAGCGTTTTCTCTTTAGCTTGGGTGGAGCCTGGCTGGTTACTTTGGAGAGTTGTGTAGTCCAGCCTGGTTTGTCTTACCAGCTCAAATTCTGGGTTTTTGGAGATAGAGATATTGCCCCCCCGTTTTGTTATCCGTGGGTTTGGAGTTTTGCTTTTATGTTGTCCTGTCTGCTGTTGGGGGGAATTCAAGGAGATTAAACAGCTGTGCTGCTGCAACCACCAGGCTCAGGGTTAACCTTGAGCCTAAATTCCCTCCTCTGTTAAATGGAGGTGATATTGTGGTCTTCAGACTTTTGAGAATGAATGAGATCTACTTAAAGCATCTAATCTAGTGTCCTAAGTGCTCTCCTAAGGGCCTGTTGTATTTAATTGTATTTTGTTTTCATAATACAATAGTATTGTGTACCTGTCACATCAGTGTTAACCTTTATAAACTACTCATGGCATTGCTATAATGTGTGCATTCTATTTGGTGCACCTTTCCCCCTCAACTTCATGGAACGATTTTTTAAAAATAGCATTTTGATTGTAGATGATATGTAATTGAAACTTAAAACTAAATATTTTCCTTGAAAGTAATTTCATAGATCATTTTATTTATAATCTCCTATCCAAGCTAAGAGATAATGAAATTGAATTTGAGCCATTATAAATCAGAATTAGCAGATGTCCTTAACTTAAGTGTTGGGATAAGTAGGAATTCGAACAACCTCTTTGCACAGAAGCTTTCCTTTAGGAAAAATGTTTTGAACACTACTGAGATTATAATTATGAGTGTTGCTTTGTTCTGTCTTACAGTGAAAAATGCCTCGTGTGAAAGCAGCTCAGGCTGTAAGACAGGGCCCTGCAAAGAGACGTCTTGCAGAACAATTTGCAGCTGGAGAGATAATAACTGACATGTCAAAAAAGGAATGGAAACTAGGATTACCCATTGGCCAAGGTGGCTTTGGCTGTATATATCTTGGTAAGTGTATGACTACTTCTAATCATCAATCCAAAGATTTATGTGCTTTCTTATCAAAATGGTTTCTCATTTATGAGCTATTATTGGATGTTCCTAATAATCTGCAGTCAACTTAATATTGTATGATTAAGCAAAAATGCATCTCTGACACAGGAGTAGAAGATTGCTCATTTAATCAGTGTGGAAAAAGGATAACATATGTCATACTATCACTAGTGTGCACTATGGCTTTAGATTTTTAAGGTATTTTATACAATTTTAATGTCTTGAGACTCAAAGCTATGTACTTCTTTTCTCCCCCATTTCTACCCAACTAGAATTTATTCTCTCTTTGACAGATTGTACATGTCTTTTACAGGTGTGGATTTTTCCTCTCCTTTCTGCACAACCCAAATAATCAGTGTAATGGAATTAGGAGAATGACCTGGAAACTGCATATTGGGCTTGATCAAATGTACCACTAATTAACATACTTACGTTGAAATTTTTGGAGATACATTTAGAACTTAGAAATTCTGTAGGTTAAATTATTGATTTAAAAAATATTTTACCTGAGTATTTGTAAAGCTTTCTGCTTCACCAAGAATATTAGTAGGGGTTGTATTAACAAAGCATTTTGTATTAGCTTTTGATATTTCTCTTTAAATTTTCCAATTGTTGTTGTTATCCCACCTCATCTCAATTTAGTTATTTAACTGTTTATTAATTTCTCCATGGAAGTTTATGAAATTGTACTTTTAGCCATGGAACCTTTTTTTTTCTTTCAAGCTAATAGTGTAGCATAGATGAGAATCACCTGGAAACTTGTTAGAACTGCAAATTCTTAGGCCCTACTCCAGACCTGTGCATTCAACACTGTAGGAGAGGGCCCAGCAGTGTGTTTGAAGTTTGAGAACCACAGCACAGGTAAAATAGCAGCTGCTCTTACTCAAGAGAGGTCCTACCTTAACTTCCTCTGCCATCAGTAGGCTTCACTTAGTCAGCTGCAGTCTCTTGGCCTGTCTTCATAAAACATAGCTTCAAAATTGGTGTTTTTCTATATCTTATACATTGTATAAGACTCATATAGGCAGGGGAAACTTGTCTTTGGGAAAATAGGTATTGATTCCTTGATCTTGTTTAGAGTCATACCCATTCCACTGAATTAGGCTGTATTTGACTTCAGGGGAAAATCTTCATAAACCCTGAAAAAGTAGTAGCTATATTAGCCAAGTGGTTTAGGAGAAATGGGTAGGTTATATGTAAATTGTCTCTACTGCAGGATATGTGGATTTATGACTTGTTAATGGCAACTTGTCTCTAAACAAGTAGACCCTTTTTCTATTAACTTGCTTTAATTTATAACCTTTTGCAAATTTGAGACTTGCTCTGCATGTGTGTTAAATGTTTTGTTTGTATGTATTATTAACAGGTGCTATCTAGTGTTATTTTTTAACATCAATGGTTTTATATCACTATGTGGTAAAACTTTGCTTTTGTAAACCTGGGTTGACCAATTTAAAAAGAATGGATTTGCTTGAATATGGCTGCCTCTAGTTCATCTCTTTGTACACACTTATACATTGAAACACCATATTCAAGATCATTTTCAGTGTCTATTCATGAAATTAATAGATTGCCTTGGAAATTTCATTGATTTTTTTTTCCCCCTGTAGCATTCGATACTGTATATCTTTCTTTCTCCCCGCCCCCCCCAAAAAATGTTTCCACCATTGTCTTCATGGTACACTATACCTTCCCCCCTTGTTTTCTTCTTGTGGCTGTGCTTAGTCTTCTTTTTAAGTACTCATATGTTCTTCAGCTCTCCTTCCTTGTCACTTATCCCTCTGTGTATTCTCTCAGACTGATCTTATTAGATTTCATGGCTTTTGTTACTTCTCTTTATTTTTGATTTCCATATCTTTCATCTATAACCTAGGGCTTGATCTCCTATATTCAGGCCCATGGCCAGTGGCCTACAACAGGTCCCTAGATGGATGTCCCATAGACATGTCTTAAATTTATATCATATTTTATTTTCTGATCATGTCATGATTAGGAGAGGATTGTCTGAATAAATGAAACCTGTTAAGCTAGATACTGGGAAGATGTTCTTGAATATTCCCTCATTAATTTTTCTAGTACCTTATCTACTCCTATTGCTTTAACTGTGACTTCTCAAATCCATCTGTTTCTCTCCTTCTTTCCTGCCAGTACCCTAGGTTAGGCCATTATCTTGTCTGTTCTGGATTCACACTGAACCAAAGATTCTTTCTTCTCATCTAGTCCTGGCCTCCTTGCATCCCATTGTTCACAGTGTGGCCTGAGTGGCCTAATATGCCAAACAGATCATTTGATCATTCTGTTTAAATCTCTTTAGTGATCTTCAGTGCCCTCAAAGAGCCAGGCTTTTTTTTTTTTTTTTTAAAGAATTGTTTGTTTTCACCCCTTTTGTTTCCTCAAATCTATGCTTCAGCCATCAGTCTGCCCTTTGTCTCTCATCTGTGAATATGCTGCTGCTGCCTTTTTTTTTTAACTTACTGATTTATTTTGTTTAACCAATACATCCAACATAAATCATTTCAACATACAATTAAATAAAATTGCCAATGTGATAATGTCATGGCATGGAGCATGTGGCAGGGCCAAGCTGCTCACCTCATGATGGAAAGAAAGCAGAGAGAGGACAGGACCAGGGTCCCAATAGCTCCTTCAAGGACATGTGCTGCATAACCCATTTCCTCCACTAGGACCCACCTCCTGAAAGGTTCCACTAGCTCCTAATAAGCCCCATCAGCTAGTGACCAAGCCTTTAACAGATGAACCCTTGGGGACACTTAAAAATCCAAATCATAACACTGTTGTCTGTTATATGCCACATATTTATCTATTCTTCCCCTTGATGGACATTTAGGTTGTTTCTATGTCTTGGCAACTGTATATAATGCTTCAGAGAAACATGGAAATGCACATATCTCACTGAAAACTTTATATGATGCTCCTTGCTCCTCAGAGCTAAGTGTAGAACAGGTACTATATGTTTATGTTCCCCTTGTGTTTACCCTTGCTTAATAGTTTCCACATGCCTTGAAATTACTTTTTTAAATTCTAGAATAAACAGGTACTTCTTGACGAGGACAGCTCTTATTTTCCTTGTGCCTGGCATATTTTGCACTTCGTACTGTTTGAGTGAATTATTGAGCTTGCTTTCCTTCCCACCTTTCCTCATCTGAATTATCTAGTATTATTGGGATGCTATCTTCATTTTAATATTCTGTTAAAAAATCTGAACCTGCTTTATTACTAATTTAATATCCAAGTGACATTCCCTGGGGCTGTTCCTCAAGGAGCTCAACTTCTTCATCTGCCCATATTAGCCATTTTTGTCAGTTGGTCTTTCTTCTTTAGTCTGAAGTATTTTAGCTTCAGCCCTTCTAAACACTGTTGCTTCCCAGCTGATTTGTAGTTTCTTGGTTTCCATCGCCTGTTCCTCTTCATCTCATCAGCTTCTAATGTGAGAGTGCCTTAGGGTTCAGTCCTAGAATTCCTTCTTTCCTCTTTCTACACTCATTCCCTAGGGGATCTCTTCCAGTCTCAGAGCTTTATATAAATAGTGTATCTGTGTTGATAACTCTCAAATATATTTTCCCTACTTAGGCTGTTACTGAACTCAAGATTTAAATATCCAACTGCCTTTTAACATCCATCTGAACTTGGATGTATAATAAACATTTGCAGCTTAAGATACTCCAAAGAATTAGTTCCTTCTGCAGTTTTCTCCATATTAGTGACTTCCTCTTTCCAGTGCTTAGGCCAAAATCATGGAGGCATCTATACCTCAATTTTTCTCTCTTAAACCTTTACCTTCAATCCATCAATGAATCCTGTTGGCTCTCTTTTGAATGTGAGGTCAGTCTGACCAATTATCAACACCTTCCCTTGTTTACTACACTGGTTCAAGGTCACTCTTTTCTCCCTTGGAGTACTATTACTTCTTGCTCATTGATCTGCCAGATTCTGCTTTTGCCCCCTGTTCACCAAAATGAGTCTGATCTTGCCAGTCCCCTTCTCAAAACCTTGATGTTACCTGTTAAACCCTGCTGCTTTTCTGATGTCTCCTGTCACTTTTCTCCTCCTTAACTTCTTCTCTCCCAGTTACAAACTTGTCCAGCATGCTCCCACATCTAGTCCTTTGTGCTGGTCTGCCTGGAGTTTTTTTCCCTGTGTACTCTTGGCTCACTTCCTCGATCCCTTGAGACCAGTGCTTGAGTAGTGCTGTCCACAAGGTCTCTTCCTACACTGTAACTCTGCCTCCCTTCCTTGCTGGCTTAATTTTTCCCCTGGTACCTACTGCCATCAAACATACTTATTTGTTATCTGTGTCTTTTCTAAATCCCTATTTTCTAGAAACTGGCATTTAAGAGGTATTTGGTAAATAGTGAGAATATGGGCAATGTTATATGCTTAACTCAGTATTCTAAGAAAACAGTGCTTCTTTATTTGCATGAAATAAAAAGACAGTTATGTTAAAATTATTTTGGATGGCAGTTAAAACTTCCGGTACATCCTTAAGTATTGATCTGGATGAGTTTTTCCCAAATTAGGAGTTTTTGAACTTCAGTTCCCTATTTTCATACCTTTCAGATGTTCCTTATAAACAGATTTCATAGTTTATTAAAATTTAAAAATTATATCAGTTATTCTTCAGGGAATTCACAACGCATGTTAGAATGTCAAAGGCCATGAATACTTTTGAGTTAAAGAAATATTTAACGTAAACTTGGAGTTTCCTGCAATTAAATTGATCAAATTCTAGAAACCAGAGTTTGTAAGATGCGTTCTAGTTTCAGACATGTTAAAACATGGAACAGTCCTAAAATTGAGGAAATGTGCTGTGATAATATCCTGAAACACATATGGGAACTGAAACTTACTCTTTCAAGGGGTTACAGATATATAGATCTAAATATTGGTATAATATTTATAATAATGTTACTTGTTCTGATTATTATTTAATTTTCTTAAACAGCTGATAGAAATTCTTCAAAATCGGTTGGCAGTGATGCACCCTGTGTGGTGAAAGTGGTAAGAAAATGTTTCAGCTAATATTTTTCTTTGCTTAACTGAAGTTAACATAATATTTATTTTGTAAAACATCCTTTTTGATAAGTATAATTAATTAAACCATAATGTATTACATTTTAAATAATGTTTTGTAAATATTTTATGAGAAACAAAAGAAGCTTTACAATTTGAAGTAACTTGTGCTCAAGAAGTCCTTCTGGCCTGTTTTGAATTAGAGTGGTACTGGTATTTGGGGTTAAGTGAATAAAAGTGTAGAAATATGCAGCTGTGGAGTAAAAATATTCAGCTCAGTCTTTTCATTTTATCTGTTTGGATTAGGTGAGATGCATTTAATATTTACATTACTGATTTAATGTAATTTTATTATATTTTGCATTTATTTCTAGACTTCCACTTGGTTAATATTTTTTCTTTTGACTTATTCCTGATTTTCTTCCCTTCCTTGTTCAGCTCAGTAAATTAAATTATTTATGATTGTTGGCCTTTCTCTGATATGCTAATGTCAAAATTAGTGTGTAAGGATTGACAACATCTCATCTTACATAATAAGCACACTATGAATAACCAGGTCAATTTGTAAATTTATGAACTAAAAAGATGACTTTTTTTTTTTTTTAATCAATTATCCACCTTTTTACTTACCAATGTTTGTATGTCCCCTCCCCCAGGGTGTTTTTTTTTTCCTTTGGTACCAGCAGTTGAACTCAGGGGCACTCAACCACTGAGCCACACACATCCCCATCCCTGTTTTGTATTTTATTTAGAGACAGGGTTTTACCGAGTTGCATAGGGCCTCAGCCTCTAGAGCCTCCAGGAAGCTCAGCTTCTGTGCCTGACCCCCAGAATTCTTTGATACATGTGAAAAACATGTTTTTGTTAAACATAAGAGTCAGCAGAATGTGTTATTTGGGGAAATTAATATATAACTCCCTGTTTTTCCTAAAGGCTTCACAACTCATGAGTTAGAATTACTTGAAAGTTTTTCGTTTTGTTTCACTCAGTTTTTGTTTCACCCATTTTTTTTGGAACGGAATTGTTTAAGTGATTTTTTTATATATATTTTTAATTGAGTTATAATTTTTACAGGGAAATATGTGGATATAAAATAGTTCAAAGATTTCTGGAAATGTGTGTGTAACTGTTTAACTCTTAATCCTATTAACATGTCCACCCCTGCAAAAAGATTCCTCATGTCCTTTGCCAGTTAAATCTCTGCTTCCCAAAACTCTTTGAGGCAAGGACTTGTCTGAGATTTTTTGCCATGGTTTAGTTATTCCTATTCTGAGTGTTACATAAATGGAATTATGCAATATATACCGCTTGTGCTTAGTATAATATTTTAAAGGTCACATATATTGTTGGTGTATCAGTCATTCATTCCCTTTTATTTTTTTGTTGATACACAATTGGGTTGATTCCAGCTTTGGATTACTATGAATAAGCTTCTATAAATACACTTGTACAAGTGTTTTTATAGATATAGTTTTATTTCTCTTGTATAAATTCTTAGAATTTGAATTACTGGTTTATAGGGATCACATGTTCAGATTTATAATGGTATTTGACAGATTTCCAAAGTGATTGTGCCATTTTGCACATCTATCAGTAATGCATGAGGATTCTGATTGTTCAGTCTCTCTAGTTTAGTATTGTCCTTGTCAGGTTGGCTTGGGTTTTAGCCATTATAGTGGATGTGCATCCATGTCTCATTTTGGCTTCAATTTGCATTTACTTCATGACTAATATTTTTGAGGACTTTTCATTTTACTTAATAGCCATCCATATGTATTTTTTGTGTATGGAGTGCTTTCTCCATTCTTTTCCCATGCTTCCTTTACATTTTTTTTTAGTAGCTGGGTTGCTTTTGCTTTTTTTAAATTGAATAAAAAGAAAGTTATTCTGGATATAAGTCCTGTAGAACATGTTTTGTAAATATTTTCCCCCAGTTTGCTCGTTCGTTTTCTGATTGTTTTTTTGCATCTTTTGAGATGGATCATACAATTTTCTCCTTTATTCTGTTAATATGGCAATTACATTGATGATAATTGAGTGTAGAATTAACTTTGCATTTTTAACACATACCCTGCCCAGTCAAATTGTATTATGCTTTTTACCTATTGCTGAAATTGCTTTGATAATATTTTGTTAAGGATTTTTGTGTCTTTTTTCATAAGAGATACTAGTCTTTAAATTTCCCCCCAGTATTTCTAAATTTAGAATTTTCTCTTTTTTTTTATATTTTTTTTTTTTACATGACAGTATATTTTGAAGTGTTATACATACAGAGAATAAGCATAACTTGTTCCAGTTAGGATCCCATTATTCTGGTTGTACATGATGTGGACTTACATTGGTCCTGTATTTATATATGAGGATAGGAAAGATATGTTCAATTCATTCTACTATCTTTCCTGTTGTCATGCCTCCTTCCTTCTCTTCATTCCTCTTTGATTGGTCCAATGAATGGCTAATCTTCCCCTCCCTTATTGTGGGTTAGCATCTACATAGCAAAGAGAACATTTGTCCTTTGGATTGGGAGGATTGGCTTATTTCACTTAGCATGATAGTCTCCAGTTCCATCCATTTACTGGCAAATGCCATCATTTCATTTTTGTTTATGGCTGAGTAATATTGCGTTGTGTATATATATTGGTTCCATAGCTTGGCTATTGTGAATTGAGCTGCTATAAACACTGATGAGGCTGCACCATTGTAGTATGTGGATTTTAAATTCTTTGGTTATATACTGAGGAGTGGAATAACTGGGTCAAATGGTGTTTCCATTCCAAGATTTCTGAGTAATTTCCAAACTGCTTTCCAGAGTGGTTGAACCAATTTGCAGTCCCATCAGCAAATTGGTATCCTTTTCCCTCCACATTCTCCCAGTGTTTATTGTTACTTGTATTCTTGATAATTGTCATTCTGACTGGGGTCAAATGGAATCTCAGTGTAGTTTTTTTTTATGTTTTGTTTTAGTTGTAGTTGGACACAATACCTTTATTTTATTTTTATGTGGTGCTGAGGATCGAACCCAGCGCCCTGCACATGCTAGGCGAGCGCTCTACTGCTGAGCCACAACCGAAGCCCTCAGTGTAGTTTTGATTTGCATTTCTCTAATTGCTAGAGATGTTGAACGTTTTTTCATATTTTTTTGACCATTTGTATTTCTTCTGTTAAGTGCCTGTTCAATTTCTTTGCTCATTTATTGATTGGGTTATTTATTTATTTATTTATTTTTTGGTGTTAAGTTTTTTGAGTTATTTGTATATCCTAGAGATTTATGCTCTGTTTGAGGTGCTAGTGGTAAAGATTTTCTCCCATTCTGTAGGCTCTCTCTTTATGTCTCTTCATGTCCTTGATTGTTTCCTTTGCTGTGCGGAACCTTTTAGTTTGATACCATCCCATTTATTGATTATTGATTTTATTTTTTGCTCTTCCATATTTAGTAGAATGAAATTGAACCTGTCTCTTACCCTGCACAAAATTCAACTCAAAGTGGATCAAGGAGTAAATTTAGAGTTCTTTAATCTCATAGCTGGGCTTGGGAATTAGGACCACGTGAGTGGGCTTTGGTCTCCTTTTTATTCTAAGTGCCTCCAAGAAAAAAAAACTAAGGTTGGCATGGAGCATACTCCACTTCTGTCTTTTAGAGGTCATGATCCTGAACTACTTTTTGTCTAATTTCTGAAACTGGTGATTTCCTGTATTTGTTTTTGTTTATAGTGGGAGGCTAATTGGGTCCTGCTTATTTCTCCCTTGTGCCCAGAAACAGGTGAAATGATTAAAGTTAAGTGTCAGTGCTTTGTTTTCCTACCATTTCCCCTTTCTTGATGCTCTTTCATTTTAGAGTTTTCTTCTTTCTCGCTTTGGAATAACATTTCTTTTTGAATGATTCAGCTTGCTGCTGAGTCCAAGGAACTAAAAATTTTAACATTAAATGGGATCATTTGCATGGAATTGCAGAATATTATCTACATTTGTCTTTGACACAGCAAATTAAGATATTAAATCTATGGGCAAGATTAATTTCTTTATAGGATCTTCTAAAGGTTTTCACTGTGAGAAATAAGCCCTCTTATGACTTCTCATAGTCATGAGGTTCAAATGATCTGGTTACCTTGGACCCTCTTGGCTGGTTTATTTGTGAAATGGTCTCTGTCTCTTAGAAGGAAGTAGAATATAAACGTGGTTTTTTTTTTTTTCTTCTGCAGTTACCTGAGATTTTGTTATGTTTATCTTAGAATTACATTTATTATGAATAATTTGAATTATTTCAGTAGTTGCCAGGTGTGGTAGCACATGCCCGTAATCCCAGTGGTTTGGGGGGCTGAGGCAGGAGGATTCCAAGTTCAGGGCCAGCCTCAGCAATTTAGCAGGGCCCTAAACAATTTAGTGAGACCCTATCTCAAAATAAAAATGAGGAATGTAGGGATATAACTCAGTGGTAAAACATCCCTGTGTTAAATCGCCAATACCCTGCTCTTCAGAAAATAAATATTGTTGTTATTCAGTGTAATTTTACTTTTACTCCCTCTTAAATTTATATGGTTAAGGGGAAGAATGGATAGAGAACATATTTTCTTTGTACTGGAGGGGAACAAATTACATGTCTTTATAAGGCTGTTATCAAACCTATTTTAGTTCTTTGCGTCTCCTGTCTTCTCATTTAGTTCTGTTTCCATTGACCCTTATTGCTTTCTCTTTGTAATGAGGACAGTAATAAATATTCAGTTGATTCTTCTTTTGTATTTAATATTTTAATAACTTTTTCAGTGTTGTAGTTTGAAATCCTGAAAGAATTGATAACTGAAGCAGTGTTATTGATTTTTTTTTTCCCTTTAAAAGGGAAATTTAGTAATAGCTATTTGCTTCTTTTTCTCCTGATACTCGAATTTTCAGAACTCCTTTAAACTCTTATATCACTCATTGTATTAACATTTATTTTACAATATCACCTGTGATATCCTTCTTCTTTTAAAGGTGGAAGGGGACTAGGGATTGAACTCAGGGGCACCTGACCACTGAGCCACATCCCCAGCCCTATTTTGTATTTTATTAAGAGACAGGATCTCACTGAGGTGCTTAGCACCTCGCTTTTGCTGAGGCTGGCTTTGAACGAGATCCTGTTATCTCAGCCTCCCTAGCCACTGGGATCAAATCGTGTGCCACCATGCCAAGCTTGTGATATCCTTCTTATACCACTAGTTGTTTTTAGATTTTTTTATGTGTTTATTTCCCTAACTAGATTTTAAGTTATTTGCTAATGAGGGCCTTATTTTACTTTCTTTTTTTGTATACAGTCCTTAAAAGCTTATTTTATTTATTTTTAACCTTAATTTTTCTACCACCTTTTTAACTGTTCTTTCTGTTCATTTAGTCTCAACTTTTTTTTTTTTTTTTTTTGTACCAGGGATTGAACCCAGAGGTGCTTAACCACTGAATCCATTTCCCCAGCCCTACTCTAAACTTCTTGATGCCATTCACTTTTCTTTCAAATAGGCGCATTCATAATTGACCTTCTTGTAGCTTTATAGTATTCAAAGTTGAAATGAATCATTAAATATAGACAATATAATGAGTATCAAGTCTTTCTAGTATTAAAGTCAGAATATTTATTGAGAAATTTTCATTCTGATATTAGGGACTGTTAAAGATCATGTTTTCTGTTTGTTGTTCTTTTTTGGTAATGTTAGGGACAGAACCCAGGACTGTCATACATGCCAGGCAAGTGTTCTAATACTCAGCCACACTCTATCCCAAAGTTCATCTTTTCAGAGAATGAGTACTTAACTGGGAAAATTTAATGATTACTAAACAGTAGGATTCAAAACTCTGTTTGCATGTACTATATAATATAAAAATTGTTTTATAAAATGACTGTATATGAAGAAAATATATCAAAATGTTTTCACATTTCAAAAAAAAGCATGTATTTTGTCTTGAGAAAATTCTTACAAATGTCATTTAAGAAATAAAGGGAAATTGATTTTTATTTTGAAGTTAGACTTAATGTGATAGTATGTTAAACAGTGGTTTGCAATCCTGGTTTTACAGTATAATCAGAATCTCTGATTGGAGGGTTTGGTTATTGGTATTTTTAGTAAAGCTCCCATGTGATTCTTTTGTGCATCAAAGTTGAGAACCACTATAGAATCTGGCACACAGAACCCTGAATTATTTTAAGTGTAATCATGTTTGCACCCACATTTTTATTCTTGTTTTTTGATCATTTTCTAGGCAAGTAGGGGCTTGCAGGTAGGGTACCCTGTGCTTCTGTTGTGGGTTTCCACCTTAATGTAGAAGACTTGTTACTGCTGATGTATCTGCTCGTGAAAAGAACTCTAAGTAGTTAATGTACACATTTTTCGTATTTGTTATTGGAGTGAAGCGAAGACATATATATTTAAGGTAGATGTTTAGGCACATGCTGGAAATAATGTTCTCCCTTCTATCCAGTGAAGATCTGTTGTATTTTGGACCTTCATCCATGACTTGTGAAAACAGCTGTGACATGGTGATGTTGAATCACCAAGGATAGAAGCTTGTATTCTTTGCTTCTAGATAACGTATATTCTATTTTGTTTCAGGAAAGTAAATGGGCAGAGAGAAATGGCAGATTGATAATAAATTGGATAATGCAAAAAAAGAAATTCTCTTTTTCTTTTTTGCTAACAAAGACAACAAGAAATTAGTTTTTTGAATTGTACTCACCCTTTGTGCTCATGCCAGTAGCAGAACTGGAGGTGGAGATTAGGTTTTTGGATCATGTAACATAATAGTTCATTGTATCACAGTCTTTTACCAGTGTGAACTGATAGAAATCTGTACTTCAAAGTTGCTTAGAAAGAAGTTTGCAGACTGATGTTTGATTTTCCTTGCTGACGTTATGAGAAGTGACCTGAATTTTCAATTCATATGTCATAATTTTTTGGTAGGAAGAAGAAACTTTGTACAGCTTAATTTTTAAATGGCAGCCAGTTCATTTTAGATGGTGCCATTGAAATATATCACATTTTAATTTTTTTTCTGTTGTCATCTTCATTTTGACACTTAGAAGTCTTAAAGAAACGTTTAGTGATATTCTAGTTAAAATGTCAGTCCCAATTTCTTTTCTAAATCTTGGCTATTATAGAGTTGGCAAAGTATTTTAGATTTGAAATATGTTAATAAAATTTTAGTTATGAGTTAAGGTATTTTCTCCAACAGAAATAGCTAGCTTTGGCTAGAATGCAGTGCCAAGGAAGTAGCTCCTTTATTTTGTTATAATGGAAGCTTATTGGATTAGAAAAAAGTATGAAATGAGCTCAAAGAGCCTTCATTGTAGTGGGGCTTTCATTATAATGGCCTGATTTATATGGTTGATTCTCATTATTATAAGTTTAATAAATTATTGCCTGAAGGAAAACTTGAAAATTAAAGTTGATATGACATAGGTTGAAACTGAATAAATCAAAAATTTTATACTGATGGTAATAAGCCAGGATTTGTCTTAGGAAAACCCCTTACAAACCTGAATTATATTATTGAACAATTCCAAAATTTAACCAAAATTCCTTCTCTTTATTTCCTTTTCTTTATTTCTTACACTGATTCTGTGACTCTTACTCCGTCATTGCCTTGCAACATTCATACATGTCTCTCAGCTACCATTACTGCTAGAGAAGGGGGCACAGGTTATGGAAAAACTTGAGGTGCTGAGTAGGCAATTTAGGGATTGTATCCTCGAACTTCAATATGTTGATTGGTTCAATATGTTGATATGTTTCTAAGGAGTTGATGCCATGCCAAGCCCATGTGAACCACTCTTCCAAGGCTGGGCTGGCAAGTATACTTACCTTGACAGAAGAGGAAAGCTTATTTTTAGGTCCTGATCCAAGTGTTACACAGGTTGCCCCTTTGCTGTTATACTCATTCATAACTGGTATTGCTTGACTCTAGATTGGCAGTCTTCCTGTAAGTACTTTAACTAGGGATTTCTATTTTTTGAATTACAAAAATCCAGGATAAGACACTGTATGTATAAGTGTGGTTTTATTTAAATCTCATGGAGCAAAATGAACTTCTGTGTCAGTTGAGTGGGGGAAAAAAACAGTTGTATATATTTTCACAAGTTTTCTGTCAGTTAAGATGATGGGCCTCATTTATGAGGTCTCTTACTGCTCTGTTGAACCTTAAACTTCAGCTATGCAGCTATTCCATCCAAAATAATTTTCTTTATACCTCCTAAAGAAGAGCAACTCTCAAATTAATTTGGAAATGTTTACTTCCTTATTTGAAGGTTTCACTGCTTTTAAACTTTTCCCCAATTCTCAATAAATAAGATAGATAATAAATAAGAAAATATCAAACACTAAGTAAATACTAAATGAGTAAAAATTCACAATTTAAGAAGTCCATAAAATTCTGTTTTTCACCTTTCCATATTTATTTAACAAGGCAAAACTCCTTACCAGCTATTATTTCTTGTTGTTCAGAATATCTTTTTGTGAATGTATGCCTCTTTGATAGTAATTTTATTTGTTGATGTCCCTTAAAATATGAAATGAATGCAGTTCAGTAAGTTGGTGGAAAATTGTCACTAAGCCCCATTTTCTTTTAGACATTAAATTATTATATGGGAAATAAGTTGTAGGGCTCCTTGGTTTGGAAAATAATGGGAATCAGTGTCAGAAAGGAAAGTATACAGTTCAGTGGACAGTGCTCGCTTGCTTTGGAGCTCCAGAATGCTAAGGTCTGTTTCTTCTAGTTCTGATATACTGGAACAAACTGTGATGAGAAACAGCAGAAGAGTGGGAGTTTGCCATTAATTGGTTAAATCAGGTATTGAGATTTTATTAAATCTCAGAAATATCTTGTAGCCCCTTGGTGATACAGTTAACATGGTTGCTGGTCTTTGCTTAAGGGAAAGCTTAATAAAGATGAAAATTAGTTTAAACGTTTTTCTTAAACTTCTGCAAAGACCGAGCTGTGTATCTGGTTTTGTATATTTTATTGGTTTTGAAAATGGAACTTGAGAGATATATAAGTTATGGACTATTCTGAGAGTATCGAAAAGATTCTTAAATAGTTGGGCTTAATCTTTAAACAGTTATAAATCTAAGTATGAGAATTACAGTGTTTTGAAAGAAATTAATTTATTAGTCTGTGTTGAAAGTTCACTGTAAATAACTCAATAATTTTAACTAGTACTGGTACTAATTAAGTCTTATATTTTAAGGAACCTAGTGACAATGGACCTCTTTTTACTGAATTGAAATTTTACCAGCGAGCTGCTAAACCAGAGCAAAGTAAGAAATACAATATACATATATTAATACTTTTTAAATGACCAATCCCATTTTTGGTTATTTTGTGTCATCTAAGACTAGAGCATTACATCTTTTGACCCTTGATTATTTTTGCTTTATAAATAAATTTCATTTAAATGAGAGTTGTATGAAATGATTCGGATTTCTTAATAGGTTTGTTATAAGATTTTACTGATGATATATAGAATAAAGATAAAAAAATAGAATAAAGATAAAGTATGATTTAGGGAATATTGTTTAAAAATTTAGCAGTAACTCTAATCTGTGAGTTAGACTCAAGAATCTCCAAATCTTTTTGAGTATTTTTCTAAATTCTGTAGAGCATAACCTGGGGGGTTGCATAATTGATGAGATAGAACAGAGAGTGTCTGAGTCAAGAGCAGAACTTCTTCCAGCTGCTCTGCTTCCTTCTATCTTAACACCTCCCCTCTAAGAATCCAAAACTTACAATAGGAACGAAGAAAAGCTACCAAAAAGCTACCGTATCTCCTAGATTTGTGTTTGCTGATTGAGGAAGAGATCTAATGACTGAGGGAAGAAAACCAAACTTACAGATTGGGCTAGAGGGCATGTTGTCCTGTGGAAACAAGTAAACATAGCCAGAGTTGAAATGCAACTGAAGTACAGTGGCTTTTAAAAAAATGCTTTTTGCAGGTTTTTCACTTTAAAAGCAATTTAGGTAACAATTTTGTAGGCTAATAAAAATGCTTTGTACTTTTTGTTTTTGGTTATACTGTACTTTTATGAATAAAGATGAAGTCTTGTGTAAGTACATCCTACTTTTTTAGTGATTTAAAAAAAATTATTATGTTTATAGTAGTTGTAATCACAAGCCTCTGTTTTAACTTACAGTTCAGAAATGGGTTCGTACACATAAAATGAAGTACCTTGGTGTTCCTAAGTATTGGGGATCTGGCCTACATGATAAAAATGGAAAAAGGTAAAAATGCATGGTTTGTTTTTCTTTTCCCTCTTTTGAGCATTTCCTATCCATTTGGTTTAGTCAAGAATTATGTATTGAGCATCCAACAATGTCAGTAGGTAAGAGTGTGTCAGCGAATAAGAAGAATAAGCTGTTATCTCTACCTTCTGCTTTACATAGCAGCAGACTGATACTCTGTTAGAAAGGGTGTGCCTCTCTAATTTAACTACTTCTATGGAGCAATATCAATTAGCTGAAGCCTGACAAAGGGAACAAAGCCCAAAGGGCCCTGCATTTCCCTCCCTTTGAAATAAACACATGCATACCACTACATTCTTGAGGCAAAAGAGAGCCCTTAGGATTCCATTTGGTATTTCATGTTGGATATATTATCTGACCATGGGAAATTAGAGTCTTATTCTTTATGAAGGCTTTAGTTTAGTTGATGAGAGAAAACAAAATGCATGAAACATTTCAAGAACAGTTAAATGCTAAATTGTGACTTTGTCTCAAGATATTTTAGGAATTGAGAGAATAGAATGTTGTTGGAATAGTTGAGTTGGAGAAAACTCCTAATACTTTGTATAATTGGTGCCTTTTAAATATTCATATGAATGATTGGAACTGGGTATATTGGTTAGAATGCTCTTAGTTACAAGGAAAGGAAAACTTTGACTCAGCCATCTTAATCACCCAGGGCCCAGGTATCTTGTCTTCCTATTTTTCCTCATCTTGGCTGTAGTTCTCCATTGTATGGCCTCAGGGTGGATGTCCCACTTCTAGACACAGACCCAATGGCAGAAAATGATACCATCATCTCCTGAGTTTCCCTTTTCTAGAAACCTTCCCTGGAGTCCTGTGGCAGAATTCCTCTTACATTTTCTTGTCAGGCTTTTGTTAGTGCTCTCTCTCACTAGGCACTGGGAGGGGCAAGGTGGTCACAGGTATTGACTTGGTGCAACACATGGTTGTGTGGAGGAGGGCAGATGCCCAGACCAAATTGGTGCCATTAGAAAAGATAGAGCAGGGGCAGCTCTTGACAATCATCCGTTTCTGGGGAGTATGGGAACTCCCTGATATCACATGTAACATTACCTGTGGTTTTGATGGAACAAGTTTGCTTTGAGGTGACCAGAGCCAGAGAGACACGGTGGGTCATAGGCTGGTGTAAGCTGTGGCAAGGACGCCGGAAGAGAACTTCAGAAGTGCCAGAGTGTGGGGACTGGAACCAGACACATTTCTGCCTGTGTTAGCTCACTGTTCACAAGTGGTGTGTGCGGGGGTGGGGGATGGGACACCTTACCTCAGCCTGTTTGTTTTATAAACTGAGTACATGACTCGTGCCTAAAATCATGGATGAGGTTTTGATTTACTTCTTAGGTGGAAGCTCTTAAAAATAACTATTATAGGTCTATCAACAGTTTAAAAAAAATAGTAAGGTTATTCTTCTAACCACCTCTCCTGCCAAAAATCATCACTTTTCCCTGTAGCTTATTTAAGTTAATACACACACAGAGCTTAGAACAGTGTTAAGATTGTAAAAACGTAGCTGCTATCATTATGAAATCATTTATACTGATCTATATTTTCCCATTACTTGAATTGTCACATCCAACTCCCCAGAAGAAAATACATGAAAGGTTTTACTTTAAAGGAGTTCTTCAGAAATAACCTTTATTTTACTACTCTATGATAGATAGAATTGTCTTTCTAGAATCATGCTTCAGTTGATATTTATAATTTAGAAATGGTGAGATTAGGGATTGTTTGGAATAGTGATGGGGTGATCTGTGGATAAAGACAAAGACCTATTTGATATGATTTGTTAATAGATCCTATGTTGCATCAAGTAATTGTGTTTTAACCCTCTTTCAGACTGTCAGCAGAAGTTTGTATTTTTGTTATGCATATGTTATTATAATAATTACACCCATCACTTATTTGTTAAAGCAAAAATGTACATGTGTCCTGGTGTCATCTCAACTTTTCAAACCCTGTTATACAAAAGAAATCAGAAAGTCAAAATCACTGTTCCCTCTATTATTTCAGGATACCAGGAAATCTTACAGGAATGAATACCTTGTTGCCACTAATTAATTGTATGACTTTGGATGTATTACTTGACTCCCTATATTATTTTGTTTATTAAAAGATATATAGACAAGAAGATCTTTAATTCTCTTCCAGTTCAAAAATGGAGAGAATCCTGATTTTTTTTTTTTTTTTTTTGTAAATTTGGTGTGTTGTCTTTTAATGTTAGTTAGCTCTTCCTTCCCTTTTAAATTCATGTTGTATTTCTAATATAGAAGCCTACAACATTTAAGTGGGATTTTTGTCTTCTAGTGCTGTTTATTTTGTACTGTGGATATAGTGGTTAACTGCTGGAGGACAGATGGGGTGATCAGGGTATCTGCCTTATGGATGGGGCCAGGCTGAAGTGCTCAGAGCAGTGCTGTGCTCACTCCAGGCATCCAGCGTATGCTTGCTCTTGGGAGGATGATGATTCGTAATCCTACCCTATTGGAAGATAGCTGGATACATTTTGAGTGTGGTCTTGGTTTTTATTGATTTATTTTTTTGAATGATTTAACTAGACAAGTTAGAAATTGGAAAGCTTCTGCAAAGCAGTAATGTTTTTCAGTACATACTGAATCTTAGAATTGGAAAGCTATAACAGACCTTAGAAAGGGTGAGTTTTCAATACTTCATTTTATGTCTGTAGAAGTTGTGGCCTAAGGAAGTAATGTTACTTGCCCAAGGTGACATGATTGGTTTCTTGCAAAACTAAAAATTGTCATATTTTTCCTGGATATTTCTTCTTCCGTAAATCTCAGCCAATAAGTTTTTAATGTATCATCCATTTATACCATTTAGACATTTTATGTATCTATTATAGCATCTGTTGATGATCATGGTATAGATTATTAGTGCTGCTGAAATGTACCTTAAAAATAGAGAAAATAGTCAAAAGAATGAAGCTATTATCTAGGAACATAAATTAATACTAACTATGAGAATAATTAGTGCTTTTATTATTTTGTTTTATTTTTGCTGTAGATGAATCTGGTGGATTCTCTTTGTGGGCATTATCTTAAATTAAATATTATCTCTTCTAACTAGTTGAGACCAGGAAGAGAGCCCTTGTACAAGTAAAGGGCAAGGTAGGAAAGCACTGACTTTTTTTGAGATTTCTGGTTGAGAGAAGTATTTCAAATGTTTGTGTATATCTCTTTGTTTCATTTTTAGACTACTGTCTTACTCTATATTTCCTTGAAAAAAATTACTTTGAAAGCAGAGTTCTCAGTGCAAAGTATGGTTTTCCTGAGTTATATTTTCTTCATTGACTTTTCTTGTTTGACTTCAGTTACAGGTTTATGATAATGGATCGCTTTGGGAGTGACCTTCAGAAAATATATGAAGCAAATGCCAAAAGATTTTCTCGGAAAACGGTCTTGAAGCTAAGCTTAAGAATTGTATGTGAGCTACATTCTTCATGTTTTTTAAAAAAATCATTTTTTTAATAAAGCAAAGCCTGTATTAACTGTGTATTGAAGTTTGGTCCTCTGCTGGTTGTGTTAGGTACTGCATTAATTTATTTTGTATGATATTTTCCATAGCTGGATATTCTGGAATATATTCATGAGCATGAGTATGTACATGGAGATATTAAGGCCTCAAATCTTCTTCTGAGCTACAAGAATCCTGACCAGGTAGCTTTGGAACTTTAGTTTCTTCTGTTTCAAATGTATTATTTGAAAACAAATATGGTTGCTTTGAACTCTTGAACCCATGCAGAAGTTTTACTTTTTGAAGTTAAAAAGGTAATAATAATATTTCTTCTTGACACTTTTATCTAGTTAACATTCTACATTTTTGATGCAATTTGTTGGCACTTGATCAAGTTGGCTATTTTGCCCTAAATAATATTCAGAAGAAGTACTTGTGATACAAAATGAATTTCAAATAGCTGTTTGGGGGTGGAAGCTTAAAATTATATAGTACACCAATGAATTATGTTTGCCTGTCTGCTTTGTCACTTTTTTTATTTCCTTTGTTCAAGAAATCCATCAAATGTAAGTGTTCTGTTACTTGGAAAATTTGGTCTTTAACATGTTGATTATTCAAATCAATTGGTTTACAGAAATATCTGAGCTGTCTAAATTTGTATACCCTTAGTGTTTGGAATTCAAATGTGCGTTTTTTAGTTTATTACATTCTCTTTGTGATATTTTACTGTTTAAGGCAAGGAGAAAAGCTAATGTTATTATACCTTTTTTGGGGGATCAGTTTAGTTGGAGTAGAGGAATCTATATAATTTTCTTGTATCTTCCATAATTTTGATAAAAGTAAGCTTTAGTTGACACTCATAGTTGGGCCATAATTCTCATTTCTTAGCTTGATATACATAGAAGATTTAAACATTCTAAATATGTTGGGTACTTTGATTATTGCAATCATTTGTTAGTATTTTATGTCATTCTTTTTTTCTTTCAAACCTTGTTTTAATTCCCTCTTGCTTCATTTTGCTTTTTGCTTTGGCTCTCCTTTTTACCATTATCTTGTATGTTTGCTCCCCTCCACTCCCACATCAGTGGTGGTGGGCATAAGGGTCGCTTAACAGAAGAAAGTTGCTATAGTTTGACTCACAAATCTTAAAAGCAGTCTCAGAATTAGTCCAACTCTTTCTAGCCATCTCATTTAAGATGCTTCTCTCTTGAAAATAAAATAGCCAAGAACCAGAGCAGTAAGGATTCCATTAATTAAAGTGGTGTGGACTTGTATAATATGATAAAAATGCAACTTACATTAGTTTGCACTTGGCTAAAGCATGCTGCTTTTGTTTATGTGGAAATATTTTGTAGCTCTGTTATCTTTCAGAGATTCTTCTTTCAGTATTAGATCTATCTTTGTATTTTTTACTTCAGTTTCCTGTTTTGCCTGCATGCATATATTTGTAATAGTTACCCAGAATTAGAGATGTGATATATGGCTATAGGATAGAAGACAGCCAAATATGCAGTCTTGTGTGCTACTCAGATCCACATGTATCTGCCCCCAGATATGTGTGTATGTATTATTCAGATTTAGCTTAGATTATGAAGACTTGCTTTAATATACAGTATTTAAATGTCGATAAAGGCCTTATCTAAAAGTTCTTGATGATCTTTATTAGGATCCTTGAACCATTTTTATGAAGTAAATTCATATTTGATTATTTTATAAGTGAAGTAATAGGAATAGAAGATAACTTGTGTCTGTCTGTTCTGTCAGCAGTCTTATGCTCTGTGTGCTTTTCTTTGTGGGAAGTGCTAGTTGTGTTGCCACATGTATTGATGATTGACTTTGTGCTCAATTTTGTTTTAACCTCTCTAAGATAAAGTAAGATTTATAAGAGTTGGTAAATTGAGGAGACAAGATTGGTTACAAGTTTAGTACATACTTTAAAAAGTATACAAAGTCAATTAATACTTTGGACCATGGCGACATATCATTTAACATTTTTATTAAAAAAAAAAAAAAATCTTGGGCTGGATGTGTGGCTCCATGGCAGAGTAACTTGCCTAGCATGCACAAAGACCTGGGTTTGGTACTCAGAACTGCAAAAAATAAGTAAAAAAAGTTTTTTTTTTTTTTGAAAGCCTTTCGGAATTGAATATTTATTATTGTGTACATTTTGCTTCTAACCTGTTTGTGGTGCTGTAGTTTGTCCTTGTAGGTGAATGCACCCTCAAATGAAGTATTTTATTTCTGTACAGCAAAGAAATATAGTTACAATGATTTTGGCTTTAATTTGTCTTGGTACTTGGAAATTTATAGGTTTACTTGGTAGATTATGGCCTTGCTTATCGGTACTGTCCAGAAGGAGTTCATAAAGAATACAAAGAGGACCCCAAAAGATGTCATGATGGCACTCTTGAATTCACCAGCATTGATGCACACAATGGCGTGGGTATGTCCTCGGTATTTGAATGAGAAATATGCTGCTAATGTTTTCAACAGAATTCCTACATGAGTCTTAATTATGCATAAATATAAACAGGGAGATAAGAATTAAAGAGGCAGAATGGGATGGGGAAAGACGGCAGAGGTTAGACTCCTACAGTTATATAACATGGCCCTCATGCATTCTCTTCCCTCTCATGTCCTGTCCTTCCAAGATGTCTGAGAATGTTGCAGTGGCAAGGTAGTTCATTTCATTCCAGTGAAGATTTCTTTTTGGTTTTAAATAGCTTTAATTGAAATATTTGTTTGTTTTCTTTTCTAATGTCTGTAAGTTTCTTATTCAGCTACAATATTAGAACAGGTAGCTTTTATTTTGTTACCGATTAAGCTTATTTCTTCTGCAGTCATTTATATTTTCTATGTCGAACACTGGAGAGTCTCAAACACCCAGTTCTTAACAGTTTTAGTATCTTCAGGCTTTCCAAAGACAATAGTAAATGTGTCATGGTTTTATAGTTTATTTCCTCCATGTATAGACTTAGTTTGAAATCCTAGGGTTTATCAGTAATACTTCTTTTACCTTATTGCACTATATGTATTATACGTATATGTATATATGTACTATATATATGTATATGTAATATATATGCTTTTATATAATACATATTATATACATATATAGTACATAATATAGGTGTATATAGACACACATATATTTGAAATAAAAGTTATTTTATTATGCTTAATTTTCTTCTTTTGTGTTTGTAGCGCCATCAAGACGTGGTGATTTGGAAATACTTGGTTATTGCATGATTCAGTGGCTTAGTGGCCAACTCCCCTGGGAGGATAATTTGAAAGATCCTAACTATGTTAGAGATTCCAAAATTAGGTAAAGAACAAATTGAGTTATTTTGGGGGGTGGAAGCATGATAGGGCAAATGTTCTTTTTGGTCAGAATCTCTCAATAGGAACTGTAGTTTTAAATGATACTAATCTGGAAGTAAGAAAGTACTTATTGAACAGGAAAGTTTCTTGGACTTCAATTTATTTTAGAAGAATGCCTGTGAGAGTATTTAGGATGTAATTCAATGTTGCTTAATGTGCTCGTTACTGTTACTAACTCTTAACAATATTCTGTGACTTCAAGCTTCAAACAATGACCCATTCTTTAATTTTTAACAGATACAGAGAAAATATTTCAGATTTGATGGAGAAATGTTTTCCTGAGAAAAACAAGCCAGGTAGGAAAAGACTTCTTAAATGTTCATAGGGGTTTTGTTTTTCTGGAAAGAAGAATGTGTGGTGTTGTGAAGTGCCTTCTATTGGAAGCGTATAGGTGTTTTAAATGGGGACATTGTACTGAGCCTGCTCGCCTAAAAAAGCACTTCCCTTTTCAGAGGTGAGCTGCAAGTGAATATTCGTGCTCCATAGAATTATTCAGTGCTTTGAGGAAAAGAAGCAATTTCACTCACTTGTTCAGCTGGTATTCATTGAGGCTTTGTTGTATGGTAGGGACTGTTCTAGGCACTGGGATATATGCATCATTGAGCAAAACAGAATAAAACCCTGCCCTCGTGAAGCTCACATTCTAGTTGGGAGTGATAGTAAACAAGTAATTGAATTTTATCATACCTCATGTCAGTACTCTGGAACAATAAGAAAACAGAGAATAGGATTAGGATATAGAGATGTGAGAGGTAATAAAGTGGGGAGGAGGATAGAAATTTTGCATAAAGAGATCAGGAACAGCCTTACTGAATGGGGGACATTTCAGCAGTTTTCAGAGGAAGTAAGGGAGTAAGCTCTGGAAGGCTGAGGAATAGTTAGTGTTCTAGGCAGAAGGGACATGATGCCAAGTGGATTTGAGAAATATGTCCTTTTTTGAGCAAGAGTGTAAGGTTTGGAGAAATAGTGATGTTGACTTTAAGGGAAATTTCTGGCTTCTGTTGTGACACACTATAGAGGGGCAGATTCTGAGGCTATAGTAATCAAAGCAAGGGAAGTGGCAGTGGAGGAGGGACAAGTGTGCTCGTTCTCTCTCTCTTTTTCTCTTTCTCTCACATCATATATACAGAAGTCTTTTCTGGCCTTTGCTCAGTTGTCCTTCTCTTCAGAGAAATGTCTGTCCTATTTATTTATGCTATTTAACATTGCAGACTACCACCCACATCAGATATAATATGGCTTTCCCAGAATTACCCTTTGTGCCTCCAACCAGTTAACCTGTCCTCATTGGCTTCACTTCTAACACCAAAGATTTGTTTCTGAGATTTATAAAAATGGAATCATATACTGAATGAAATAGATACAAGTCCTGCCCTCATGAAATTAGCGTTTAGTTCTGTTAATATCCTTTTTCTTTCACTCAGTGCTTCATTTGTGAAATTTATCCTCATTGTTGCATGTTGAAGAGTAGTTGTTCATTTTCATTTCTGTGTAGTATTCCATTATGTTTATATACTGTTATTTATATGTTCTACTATTAGGTCATTTCTAACTTTCAACAGTTACAGATTGCCAATTGCATATACATAGAGGTATGTTGTCTACTTGCAGTTGACTTCTGTGTGTTCTATAATAGGTCACTTTTTTTTTCTCCACCTCCAAGTTGGTATGGAGTTTACCCAGCAGTCTTTCTTAAAAAGACTGCTCTTTCCCTCTGATGCCACTTTCTTATAAATCAGGTATAGATCTATTTCTGAACTTTTTCTTTCATTTGTTTTTTTGTCTGTTTTTGAGCTACACTCTTAATTATTGTAGCTTTATCTTACATCTTGGCATCTGGTGAAATCTGGTAGTTTAAATCCTCTTGCACTGTTTTTCTTTAAACTTGACTTTGCTATTCTTGGCACTTTGCATTTTAATTAATAAATTTTAGAATCACCTTGTCTATTCTACATGTGTACATCATGCACTAAGTTTGCTAGAGCTTTGGGACTGAATTGATTCTTTAGATTAGTTTGGGTAACAATGACATCTTTGTAGTAGTGGTGAGTCTTCCATTTGACTAATATGGGGAATATATTCATTAAATTTGTCCTACAGTTCTCTTGATGGGGTTTTATAGCTTTTTCCTACAAAAAAAAATCTTGCTCATATTTCATTGTATTTATGTTAGGCATTTGATGTTTTGGAATGTTATTTTAAGGGGTATGTTTTAAAATTTTTGTTTTCCAACTGATTTTTTATAGATGTACAAATAGAATGGGTTTTATAATATATTTACCTTGTCTCTGTGACTTTGCTAAGTTCACCAATTCTAGTAGTTTTTTTTTAAAATTTAGATTCTGTAGAAGATTCTTTTACATGTACTGTCATGTTGTTTGCAGCTAAAGACTTATATTTTTTATTTTGCTTATTATGCCTTCTGTTTCTTTTCTTTCCTTACTGTATTGGTTAAAAAAATGTATGATTTTTTTCAGTAATGCTAAATAGAAGTAGTAAAATTAGATCTTTTCCATTTTTCTCTCTCAGGGAAAATTTTCAGTATTTTGCTAGACCCAGTGATGTTTGTTTTAGGTGTTTTGTAGATCCCTTTTTTCAGAATAAAAAAGTGGAAGTTTGGGATTTTTTTCTTGTTGTGTCCCAAGTAGCTACACAGAGTACCTGGGCCCCGGGCGTTCCAGTATTGGAATTAGTGAGTGTGTCTGTGTACCACTGACAGAATGCCTCCATGAATTGATGTGGAATGGAAGAAGAAGAGGAGGAGATTTAAGAAAAACAGATTTTGGCCTCAACCGGGATGGAATACTCAGTAACAGGGAAAACTGCAGGGAGTAGGTTTTACGGTTAGGTTAGGAGTTTCGATTTGAATTTATTGGGATTTGAGGGGACAATTACATATCTAAGAACCAGCATGTGAGGCAGGGAATATGTGGGTCTGTGGGTCAGGGGAAAGAACTGTGTGTGTGTGGCAGTAGCCCTGGAAGGAATTTGAATGTTAAATAATGCTGATCTTCTAGGAATTATTCTTATGATAAGGTTCTGCCACATTGTGCAGAAAAACCAGAAGCTGATTTTTATGGAAAAACTGGGCTTTCTTGTTCCTTTCTTTAATTGCTTTTGGTGTGTTTTATTTTTTATTAACACAAAGAATGCTGCTCTATTTTATAGTAATATTGGTTTCCATGCCCAAAAAATGTTGGCTGTGATACTTGTTGTACTTAAGGACATTTTAGTTCCAGAATTTTATTCTAGGTTCTTTTTTTTTTTTTTTTTAAAAGCTGAAAACTACAGTTATGTTATGCATATTTAAATTTTAAGTCTATGTTCTCTTTTGTTATTTCTCACAATTAAAAATATGTTTTTATTTTGCCTGACAATTCCTGAATTGAAAAACATACTTTCGCTGGACAAATGATTAACAAATTCATATCTTAACAAGGTGTCCGTATGCTTCCATTTTGATTTTACTATAACCGTGAATCATTTTCTTAGGAGTAAGAGATAAACATGTCATATTTGTGATTAAAAGTTAGAAATGGTTGTGTTATTCTTTCAGGTGAAATTGCTAAATACATGGAAACTGTGAAATTACTGGACTATACAGAAAAACCTCTTTATCAAAATTTACGTGATATACTTTTGCAAGGACTAAAAGCTATAGGAAGTAAGGATGATGGCAAGCTGGACCTCAGTGTTGTGGAGAATGGAGGTTTGAAAGCAAAAACAGCAACAAAGGTGAATTTTGTTATTAACTTATCCTTCAGGCTTCTTCTGATTATAATTGCAATGAATACTGATTTTTAGGAAAGTAAAACAGTAGCTAAATGAAGAAAATAACAGATTGCTTGGCAATTAAATGTTTATCACCACTATGCAAAGGAAAACTCTTTTTATGACAACATAACAGTATGTACAGGATTGTAGAAAAATAAATATTTATATATTTCTCATGTCCAGTAGCAAATTATTAAATATCTAAAATGATTTTAACTTGAGATACTGGTGTCTGGCAGTGGGATATTGATGGAGCACTAAATTAATGATTTATGTGTTATTTTCTCTCAAAGTCTTCCCTTAGGGTTGATCTTATTTATGGGTAGAGGAAAAGTGTTTACCATTTGAAAGTTGGCATAACTTCCCTTTTTTTAAATTTCCCTTCCTACCATTCTTCTTTTTTTGTAACAGGGATTGAACTCAGGGGCACTTGCCACTGAGCCACATCCCCAGCCCTGTTTTGTATTTTATTTAGAGACAGGGTCTCACCGAGTTGCTTAGTGCCTTGCTTTTGCTCGGATTAGCCACTGGGATTATAGGTGTGTGCCACCACACCTGGATGAAAACTTCCTTTTTTTTTTTTTTAGAGAGAGAATTTTTAAATATTTATTGTTTAGTTTTTGGCGGACATAGCATCTTTATTTTATTTTTATGTGGTGCTGAGGATCAAATCCAGGGCCGTGCGCATGTCAGGCAAGCTTGCTACCGCTTGAGCCACATCCCCAGCCCAAAAACTTCCTTTTTTTTTAGTTTTGGTATTTTAACATTGTTTTGCTCTTTAAAGAAATGTCGAGTGTATCTGCATATTTTGGAAATATGAAGAAATAATAACTTGCTATCATGGAATTATTACATAAGCATGTAAAGAGCTCTTGGTATCACTTAAAAATTTAGATTTATAGGTGTGCATTGTTATTAATTTACTGTTGGTTATTTTTTGATACTGTTGGTTATTTATTGATAACCTTACTTTCTTCATTATCTGAAATTATTTAGTAAAATCAATTAGCTTTTTTTTTTTTTAAATAAGGAAATGGAAACTACATTTAGAAGAAAAATATTTTTTCAAATTATTGGCTGTTTTTACTCTTGTTAATTCTATAAATCCCAATACATTTCTCTGGTAATTTCAGACTCCAAACTATTAGAAAAAAGCTTGAAAAAATTTTCCTCTCTTTTAAAATCAGAAACAGCCTATTAAAAGGTTTTCCTAAGCCTTTAACTTAAAAAGGAAATAGGGATTTCAAAATTGGTTCATGAATTTTACTTTCTTTGGCGAATAGCTGGTCTCTTTTTTCGTAATTTTATTATAGAGTCTGGAATTATATGCATGTGTGTTGTCATATGTGTAATTTTTTTCTTCTTCCTTCATAAGTTTGTCTTAATTGCATTTACTGCATATTTGTGGTCTACAAATGGCCTGAAAGCCAGATTCAGGATTGAAATGAAGAGGGTAAAGTGGAAATCTTGAGTGAAATTTTTCATTAAGATAGTAAACTCATTGTTGCACACATGTTTAAACATACAGCATGCATTTTATTGATTAGGACAGATTTCTTTGCGTTAATATTTATAGCTAGCTCCTATAGTGTTGCTTTCTAAACTGTTGCTGATTGAGAAGATCTCTCCTACAGTGAGACTTGTCTAGAGTAACTCCTCCTTCCTTTGCAAATCCCTGTTGTTTGAATCTACATGCTGGATAAAATTTGTTTTCTGTGACCTTATAATTCTCTTGTGTCGTTGGGTGGTTCACAGGTCTGGAAATTTCCTGTTGGACCATCTCCTACATGTTTAAAGCTTCATTTAAGGCAGGAAAAAAAAAGTATGCCAAATTGAACTATGAGGAGTTTACTTCATTAGTTTACTGTTTCCCTCCCTGCCCCACCCCTTTCAATACCTATTGCTGACCCAGGGCTATTCTATATAGCAAAAAGATATTATTACAGGTTAAGATTAGTTTAGATAAGATCATGAAACTGCTTGATATCCATGCAACTGAAGTGAGTTAACTAGTTCTCACTTTTTCTCTTTTCATTTGTGAGATGAAATGGTCTGATGATACCACTTTCTAAAAAGCCAGCCTGCCTGCCTGCCTGCCCCGACACCCTCCCTCCTTTCTTTTTTTCTTTCTTTCCGAAAACATTTTCTTATAATAAATTGTAAATGCCTCCACTAAAACAAATGAAAGCAGTGTTCCACTGATGGAAAAGTTGGCATCTCCCTGGGGTGGTGGTGGCGGGGGGGAGCTTTCTCTGAGAAACTAGTACTCTGTCTCTTTTTTGTAAGGCCTATAATTCAGTTGTCTTTTTTTGCTCTGGTTTCCAGGAGACTCAAAACTAAAAATGGTGCTTTATACTAGAAACACTATTAATTCTTATAATTAGTATATTTGCTCCCTCTTTTCCTTTGTCATAATTGTTGGAAGTAAAAAGTATATATACTTTGTGTTTATCAGAAGTCTCTCTTTGAAAGGGGTAAGTTTAAAGAAGTCAATATATATTTCTTGTAGGGTTACTAGAGATATCTTTTATGGTACAATTTTTAGGAATAAATTAATAGTGGAATAAAGCAAAGTTTCTTTTGAATCTTGCAACCATGTTCTTTTATGGTGAAATGTATGTGCAAACTGCAGTTAAATAAGAAATTTGTCTACTTGGGAAAATATGTTCTTCCCAATAGCTAAAGAGTTTTATTTAAAGCCCAGAACTTTGGAATGGTGCAAGGCTGAAAAAGAAAGAGGCCAAGTATAAATATGCCCTTAAAAAGTACAAAGCCCAAAGATTTTCATTGTTGATTAGAACTAAACACTTTCATTAGAATGTACATTGCAGTAGTCATTGGAGTTAGTGTGCACTCTTAAATGAACATTCGCTAGTCATTGTAGATTGCCTAAATTATGTACCTGATCTGAGCTAAGTCTCTAGGCCTGCCCAGGTCAATAATGTGTGGTCCATCCTTAAAGAATAGCTTAATTTACTGGACTCTCTCTCCCATCTGGACTAAGAATGGCTTAATTTACTGGGAAGAACTCAGCAAGTTAAAAGAATGCTAATAACTCCATTAGCTGTTTTCTTCTAGGGTTTTGACTAAGATGCTTACCCAACTCAAAAGAAAGTGCTGGCTGTTGATTGGACTCACTTGACTTTTATCCCTAGGGAATTTTTTAGTAGATCTAGAGTATGGCCCTGAAATTTGTGTTTTATTTTTTCAATTTCTGACAGTATATATTATCCCTATGAATGATCTACACATATCTTCTTTCCTGTCCCTCATTTTACCTCCCATTTTTAAATTTTTTTTCAATTGTATTGTACTAGTTGTCCTTTTTTTCAGTTTCTCTTAAAACTTATCAACTATTGTCAATTAAACCCCTGCTGGTGCTCAGCCTGGAGCAGGGTACAAAGATTTGAATAGAGCAGCAGCCTTCCACTGAAAGTGTGCATCTTTCCTGCCCACCTGCCTATGTGCCTCGTCCCTGCTTTCTGACTCTACTATGAGCTGAGCAGCTTTCCTCATCTGGGTCCTTTTCTCATGATGTGCTGCCTAACCTTGGGCCCAGAGCAGTGGAGTCAGCTGTCTGTGGACTGAGACCTCTGAAACCATGAGCCCAAAATAAACTTTTCCTCCCCTAAGCTGTTCTTATTGGATATTTTGGTCACAGTCACACAAAAGCCAACTTAAAACAAACATTATTATAATTTATTTTGGGAAACATATGTATGTATTTCACATTGGGTATATATGTAGTGGATTACTGAGGCATAGGGTTTATTTATGTTCAGTTTTTTTTAGTGGATACTGCCAAGTAGTTTTTCCAAAGATGCTCTCAGTTTATACTACCATCAGAAATCTATGAGAGTTCCAGTTGCTCACTGACACTAGCTATAGCATTATACTTCAGTTTACCTATTTTAACGTGTGAACTGACTTTTATGTAGTTTTAAGTTAATTTCATTGAAGAATATTGATTTTTGAGCACCTTTTCATATGCTCACTGGCCTTTATTATCCCTTTTTTGGTGACGTGCATTGTGATTCTTTTCCCCTTTAAAAATTTTTTCTTTTAATTTGTCAAAGTCAGGCACTTGGTATGTATGTACTACATGTACAACACTATCTTTTAGTATGTGGTTTATCTCTTCATTCTTTTAATATGGTGCCTTTTGATAAATAAGTTTTTCATTTTAATGAAGCCCAGTTAATCAGTCTTTTTGTTTAGTGCTTTTTGTATTCTACTTAGTGAAATTATGTCTACCTCAAGATCATGAAGATAATTTTACTCATCACATTTAGGTCTATAATTTAACAGAAATAGATTTTTGTGCATGGTATGAGTTAGTATGTGTCTCTCCCAACCCCCAGCATGAACCACTTATCCAGAAGACCACTGCAGTGGGCACTCAGGTGGCTGTAGGTTTGGGGCTTATTTCTGGATACCCCCTTCTGCACATGGGCTTGTTCTTTGTGCTAGTGTCATTACTTGTTTGAACTACTGGCTTCATGATTATATCTGCTGGCGTAAATCCTCTAACTTTGTCGTTCTTTAAGATTGTCTTTGCCATTCTTGGTCCCTTTACATTTACAGATGAATTTTAGAATCAGATTATGACTACAGATCTATTTGGTAAGAACTGTCTCCTTTATAGTATTCTTTTGGGTGTGCATGTATGAAACTGTGTGTGTATGTGGGCACACGCACGTAGAACTGGAGATGAAACCTAGGGCATTCTACCGCTGAGCCACATCCTCAGCCCCTTTTATTTTTTTGAGACAGGGCCTCGCTAAGTTGCCTGGACTGGTCTTGAAATTGTGGTCCTCCTGCCTCAGTCTCCTGAGTCAGTAGTATCACATGTGTGTACTGACTCGTCCAGCAGCAGTGCTCTCTTCTGTGAACTTGGCTGACCCTATCTTTATTTAGATGTTTTTTCATTTATCTCAGTTGTGTTTGTGGTTTTTCTATGT